AGTGGACATGGGGGTGGTGTGGCAGCCAGGCATCAGGGAGCACATACCAGAGGGAGCTTCCCGCAGCAGTGACCAGGGGGGCAGCTGTTGGTGGGGTTCCTACCCGGTCACTGCACCCGCAGAACCACCATGTTGCTCTAATGAGTAGATGGGGGACTCCATGGAAGGGCAGGGAAAAAACGCCATGACCAGCTGAGAACATTCCCAGGGAAGTGTGCAGGTCACTGGGGGAGAAGCAGGTGGGGCAGGAAGAAACAGTGAACACTGGGATTGGTTCCCAGCCACAGGGGCTGATGGGATGCATGTCACCATTTGGAGGGAAGACAGAAGTGTGTGCACACTATTCCTGAATAGTTATGCCACAAATCTGTGTCTATGGGACACAAAGTAAGAAAATTGACTTTGTGGTATTTCTTAATGTTCCGTGTGAATGGCCCTACTGAGTTTACAGCAGGAGGAAATCAAGGGGAAGGCATAGGGGCTAATGGAGCACTGGCAGAAGAGGTGTACGTCCCCTCTCATTGTTTAGAGACAAATGCCATGTCAAGGTAAAGTTCTAGGAATCTTTGCATTTACCCAATACCTGATGAGACACTGCAAACTTCCCCAGCTTGGTGTCCTCCAGATGTTTCCAACTTCATCTTCCATCAGCCCTAGCCAGCAAGGCTGCTGGTCAGGAATGCTGGGAGCTGTAGTCCAAAGTACCTGGTGGGCACCCCATTGGGATAGGGTGAGATGCTGCATGGGATCCCACTAACAAACAATCCATGAGCCTGGTTGAGACCAATAGCATTTGATGACGCCCATCCAAGAACTGCCTCCATACCCTCTGGCTGCATCAGAAGAAGACAGCAGCCAATGAAGCCGCCTCTGTTGGCTTTTCCAATGCTTCTCTCCTCCTGCGCTCATTCCAACTTCCTCCATCAGTCTGGCTGATCCCAACCTCCATTTGGCTTCTAGACTCCCAGAATGGTCTCAGATCTGGCCATGACAGCCTTAGAACTATTAGCCCCTATCAGATAGGAGATAAATAGACCAGCACAGGGGAGGAATAAGATTCAAATGTAAGAAATAACTCCAAGGGGCAATTCTATTACTAGCGTGGTGTTGTGATTATGCAACTTTACCAGCCCTTTCCAGAATTACATGGAAATGAAATTGTTTCTCAAGTCAGAAGAGTAAAGCTGCCTTTTGCCAACTGCTGTCTAGTTATCCCTTTCAATTCCCTCATTAGCTTCCATATGAATAATGCATAGATGCTACTACTGATAGTGTCATAACTCCTCAATTGTTCAAGCTAATTTAACACTGTCTGAATCATGAGATGCCATAAAGCCCATGAATATTCTCCAAGCATTTACAAGGTTCTAGGCAGGAACTGTTTGCAATGCCAGATATTCAGAGAAAGGTGTGTATTGATTTTCTTTCTTTCTTTCCTTTTTTCTTTTCTTCTTAACCTTTCCAAAAGTAGCAGTGAAGTATGATGACTTGGAATGATGGCTTATCAGAAAATGAGATCAATCACTCTAGGGTGAATCTGAGTAAATGTAAACCTCATTTTATTTTATATTCTGTTAGGAGGGGGAAGGCTGCCAATTTGGATGGTTAAAGACAGTGAATTTTTTTTACACGTGTACATGTGCATGCGCGTTTAAAACCTTTGACCTCTTTTTGGTACAACTCATTGCCTTTGCAAATGCAGGTTCTGAAAATATTCTATGGGACTAATTTTGCCTGCCAGATGGGCATCGTGTGGCGGGCAGAAACAAACCACGGGATACGGCATCCTGAATGCCGGTGGTGCTCTGGGGGTTTCCACTAACGTTTGAATTCACTTGACAGTATCTGCAGGAACTGCAAGCACTGGCAGGCAGCAAGGGCTTCTCTAATAAATGTTGGACAGAAAATTGCCAACACTGTGTGCGAGAGAGAGAGAGAGAGAGAGGGAGAGAGAAGACTTTAAGGGGGCAAGGGTCCCTCTTCTATATCATGGGAGGAAAATGCCCCTCTCTTCTCATACAAGCAACTGGGGCAAACTGGTGTGGTGCAGTGTGGCGAGCAAAGTTGCCCTCTTTTATTTTGCAGAGGGGTCCCCCTGCTCAGCACCATGACAACTCCTACTTCCCGATGTGAAATTTGCCACCAAGCGCAGCCACCTGTTGAGAAAGTCTTGGGAAAGAAGCAAACAAATTCACAGAGGACAATAAGCTCTTCAACAGTTATCTGCCCCAACAGGAAAATGTCATGCTGTTGGTAGAACATTCCTCCTTGCATGAAGGGCTGGAGAACCTGCCACCAGCAATGCCAAGGCTTTGTGAGCAAGCCAGGAGGTGGCTGTACCCTCAGGGATGGCCACCATGAGGACATCACCTGTAGAGCAAAAGGACTCCGAGATGGATGCTGGGAAATCTCTAAGCCCTTGAGAGATGCTGCCTGAAAAGACAGGAGCTCAGAAGGAATGCTAGACCAAGCTAGGGACCTCCTTGTGGCAACAATCTATGTGCACATAAGAGGCTTGTTCACAAGGAGGACCTTTTGAACCGCAGCTGCTCAGATTCAGTACTGAAGCTTGGGTGCAGCTCCAACAGCCTATGATTAAGAACAGCAGTGTACAGCTGAAAGAACTGCTGGAAACAGGGTGGACCAAACCTTAAGGAATCCAGCTTCTCTTGGCTTAACTCTAGACCAGTCTTCCCCAACCTTGTGCCTACCAGACATGTTTGGACTGCGACACCCAGAATTCCCAGTCAATGGCCCTGCTGGATGGGAATTCTGGGAGTTGTGGTCTAAATGCCTCCGAAGACCACCGGCTGGGGAAGGCTGCTCTAGAGTGCTTCCTGGCCTGCATACTTCTGGAATGACCACTGGGTCTCCTCCTGCCTCCTTCTTGGCTGTGTTGCCTGGGGAGCACGATCCCTGTGAGCGAGACTGTGGAAGCCTTTGCTGCCTGTGTGTCGACCACTTTAGGTCTCTTGGAGTCTACCTGCAAGTGCTAAGCTCAGACTTGGGAAATGTGACAGAAAAGTATAATCTCTATGCATGGAGGAAGTCTACCTCTTCACCTACTCTGTGAGGGATGCAGAAGCTCAGGCCTGGGGTCCGATCCAATTCACCTGGTGTCCCTAGAGGGCCTTGCCTAATTCCCAAGCTCCACCCTTTTCCCCCAGTCATAGAGCATTTGGTGGTTTCCTGGTCTAGAAAGACACCACCCTCAAAAATGCTGGGCAAGGCCTTGACAGGGTTTGTCTGCACACACCAGGGTTCCCCAAAGCCGTGAGCCTATTTGGCATATTGAGAGAGTACTGGGGGCACTCTCACAAAATGGCTGCTATGGGGGCATAGCTAGTCACCATTCATGCATTTCCCAGAAGGCAGGTACCAAGGATACCTCAAAACCTAAGTACAAACCAGTGTTGGAGTCTGAGCTTCAAATCACAAAAACACCCTTTTGAACCCAAATTTTTCTGCCCCAATAGCTATTTTACAGAGATTAATCTGTTGAAGTTCATGTCAGAGGCATTCTTGGACAGAAATATGTTGATGAGGGCCATCAACCTCCCAGTAATTTGTTTAATTAAAACAATTGAAAATTTAAAAAATGAAGTAAATCAGGAGGGGCAGGAAAACTTGTGGGCACAAAGAGAGGTAGATGTCTGCAGACACACTTGAGCTCACGGTACCATTTATCTATCTATCTATCTATCTATCTATCTATCTATCTATCTAATTCATGTATATACCATCCAATGTTATTATATTCCTACTATTTGACACATACATCCTACCGTATTTCCCCGAAAATAAGACCTAACCAGAAAATAAGCCCTAGCTTGATTTTTCAGGATGCTCATAATATAAGTCCTACCCCCAAAATAAGCCCCAGTTAAGATTGTCAGCCAGACGGATGGGGAAACACAGTAGTACATCCATTGCAACACATAATTGACATTGAATTATAAAATAATAATGTTAATATATAATTAAACATGAATAAATAATATTATTGACATTAATACTTAAAATAAATGATAACAAATTATAATTAAGTATTTGTAAATACCCAAGCGGGCTCCTTTGGACAAGAGGTAAACGCCTATGTAAACAGATGAACTCAAGAGTCATTCCCGAATGACCAATCGGAGTAGAGACACAATGCACGAAAAGCATGTGCACTTGATAACAAACAGACATGTTTCGTAATTCAATACAACGTGTGTTGTAAAGGGCGTACTTAATGCACTCGTGTGCTGCCACTCCTGTCTCGTAAGTCTTCAGTTAACACTTGATTTAATGGGAGATTTAAAGGGAATAATATTTTGACCCCCAGACAAGATGAGTGCAAAAAGAAAGAGTACAAGAGTCCGTTGAGTACAAGAAAGGAATCATGGAGGACTCTCGGAGAAAGAATCTTATGGCTTTTGTAAGGAAAAAATAAGATGTCACCTGAAAATAAGCCCTAATGCATCCTTTGGAGCAAAAAATAATATAAGACCTGGTCTTATTTTCAGGGAAACATGGTAGATTCGTATGCCACTCCCCACGGCCTTGTTACAACTGTCATAGCACTTCGTCCATTACTACCCCAATTTACATAAGTTATCATGTTTCTTTAATAGATATTATTCATTTATTTAACTCTGCTTTATCCTGCCTTAAAATGTTTACATGTGCACAACACTGTGTATATTAAGGAGAAAAGTACACAAACCATATTAAGAAAATTGTTACAGAAAATATGTATATCTGGAAAGGTATGTACAAATATGCATGTATTATGAGAAATGTGCACAAACATTCCAAATTTAATGTGGACTTAAATATTTAATATATTGCAAACATGCACACATATATTTATAAACATATGAAAAATAGAGCAAATAATGTTTGAAAAATAAGTGAAATTGAACTTTCCAAAGCTATCCACTGGTAGCACTAGAGGACGTTCTACTGTGCTTAGGAAAAGCCTTCACTGAGGAATAAGTTCCAACATTTATACTTACATGTTCTTTCTTGTTTAATCTCATACTCCAAAACCTCCAAAGCGTCCATCTGGGCTGGGAAATGAACGGAGAGAAGCAGGCCTTTCAGGGTCTCATCTTTCCTGACCATAAATATCTAAACAGAAAGAAGAGAGCATATTGAATTTTGGTACCAAAGAAGGGTCTTGTCTGACCTTACGAATAATCATGATATCAAAACTGCTTCAAAATTTGCTAATAAAACTACATATTTTCCCTTTTATTTTAACTGACCATTCTGTCTATACAATGCTGATAAATGCATAAAATTTAGTAAAATTTTCATTGTTGCTAAAGAAATAGAGAAAAGGTAAGGGAAAAGTGACTAGGTACTGGTTTAAATTCTTATCTTGGAGAATGAAAGAATGCAAGCAGAAAAGTTCTGCTGGGTTTATAAGAGGCACCCATGTCCATTACCAGAATCAGCCAAACAGGATATGTAAAACAAGGACAAGGCCAGCAAAAGACTGCAATCCTATTCATGCTGCACAGATCACCTGGGAGTGGGGTGCACTGCAAGTGAGCCGCCCGCCCCCCCGCCCCCCAGTTCCCTGAGATTGCTATGTGGACCCATGTGCTCTGAATGGTGGTTCAGCTCACGTTCAACAGCATGCCAGGAGGACGCATGGCACAGCTGGGATGGTTTAATTAGGGCCCAACTGGGAAAACAGTGGCCCCGCGGGCATGGTGTGTCCCACCCAACGAGACCCCGCTCCAGGCTTGCTTGCCCTGCACGCAAGGCAAGGGGGCGGAGGGGGGGCTCACTCGCATCCCTGGGCCGACCCCGAGCCCTTGCGTGTTCTTGGAATGCCCGGACAGGCCCTCTGAAGGGACGGCGGTGGAGCCAGCGAGCGGGTGGAGGAGCATCCATAAGGCTCAGCTACGTGCCTCTTTAAATGCATGCTTCGAGCACATCCATGAGAAGTCCACGCAGCCACCGTTGCTTACTGTAAGTGTGGGAGGACTGCTTAGAAAACAGAACAGAGCAAACACGCTGGTGGAAGCAGCCGTTTTGTTCACTTTCACATTTGTTCTGCTGTGAAAAAGCCTTGCCAAAGTGCTCACCAAACACAGAAGTGAAACTGGAGAGTACGCTGAAATCTAAAGAACCCATAGACACCAGTGAGTGGGGAATAAAGAGCACACAGCTCGTGCCTCGTGTAGAAATGCCCTTGGTTATCCTGGCTTACCAGATGGCCTCTAGGGCCAGGGCCTTGTGCAGTGGGGATGCACCATAAAGGCATGGAAGGTCCTCAAGGGGGATATAATAGGAATTATTCTAATTCCAGTTTTAGATTTGCTGTTGGTAGAATAGTGATAAGCTCCCTTTCACTCCTCAGAGCAGGCAGAAGTTCCGGAGGCAGTTTTGCAAGGTCGAGCTCCTTGCGGAGGAAGAATTGCAGAGACTGGTGGGCTGTTTGCAATACCTGACTATCAGCAAAATGCAGGGATTGTGTGGATAGTGTCATTGTATCATTTAGCTACCAGGTAAGAAGGAGAAACCGCTGAATTAATGCACAATGCCTTTGATTGGCAGCACTTATCTGGAAATGCCATAAATTGGGAACTGAGCCCAGCTGTGGGAGAAATCACATCAGAGAAATCAAATCAGAGAAATGGCCAATACAGGAGGCAGTGCTTGTAGTAGGTCCGTTCCTGAATGTCCCTGATTAAGCATGGACAATGCACCTCAGGATATATATTAGCCTGGCAAGGCAAGGATAAGTCTGCCTGTGACTGTATACAAGAACCCTAAAATAAACTACTCATCTCCATTGCCTTCCATGAAACCAGATGTTTTAACTCTCACTTTATGTTAGGGTTAGGATGAAACTCGGTCCCTCTCATGCTAAGCTTGCTCTTGGAAAGCAGGCTGAGCTGGGAGGATGCTGGCAAACATTCATGGAATGGAGGCTGCAGAATGAAGGTTGTGCAACAGGCAACCTTCTTCCAGATCACACACCACATCACACGGGGCACAAACAAAGGCCACAGCACATGACACAGGAGAGTGTGAGGTTCTGAGGCAGCACCAGGGCTCCCTCTTCTGGCCAGAGAGCAGGATAGCAGCCCTAGTGTTTGCAGGACTGGGCCCACAGTCAATTGCAGGCATCTGGAATGTTACAAGCACCACCTGGGAGCCCTGAGGGAAGAGCTGCACAAGAATAGACTCTTCCCTTCAGATGCTGCCTCTGCAACAGGGGGTCTTTGGTGTTGTTGGAGTGCTCTGTGCCGCCTGGAGCCTGTCTCTGGAGACTGTGCTCCTGCTGCCACTTCTGAGCCATGCCTAGCTTTACCTGCTCCACCTTCTGCTCCAGTCCCACTTCTCCTTGGCTTGTCTCTCTGGTTTTTGACTCCTGACTGGCATTGACTGCTCTGCTCTGTTTGAGTTGACTTACCTTGCACTTCTGTTACCTGCCTTGACCTCTGGACTGCCTGACTATGATTTGGAATGGGCCTGTATACTGTACCAGTTGTCTGGGTCCTGGTACCCACACCCTGGATGCTGAGAGAGAGGGACACTGCTTGTGCAGCATTCACACAGGACTTGATTCCCACTGAGCACTGCATGATTGCTCACCACATTGCCAAGAACTTGGGACTCACAGCCACAACAAAGTTGACTGGAGTCTGGGGAGCCAAGCCCAGGGAATCCAGCAGGTTCCCACCCTCAAAATGGATTCCTCAACCATCTCTACTTTAGATGCAAGGGTATTTGGAAAGAAATTAAACTTCCTGTGTCAAAGATGATATGTGATATAAAATGCAATATAGATGCAGAGTATAAACAAGCAAATGAAAGCTTTTACTGCACTTACCCATGGCTGTATTGGTTTCCTGAGTAGGCCAGAAAATGTTTCAAAGTTGCCTGGGCATGTCAACTCCTCTCCCTAAGCTGAGAACAAGCCATTGTGGAGGCAGAAGGTAGGGATAGAAAATGGAAGAATAGGACTGAGTAGTAAGACAGGTTGGGCAGAAGAGTGTACTGAAGAGATAAGGAAGTGTTTGCAAGTCATCTGATAAGTTGTGGGGGAAGGGGTGTATGTCTATAAGGCAATAAAAGTGAAAAAGTTCCTTTGCTCAGGACTCAGACTTTGGGGGGAGACACCACTGGACCTGGTGCCAATAAAGCTTATTTGCTTCACTTCTACGCTGTGGTCCCTCAATTCCTCATTTTCCTGTAACACCATAGACTTTTAAAGTACTTCTCTCCCACTATTGCAGAGTCTGTCAGTATATACCCAGCTTCTAACCCCATTTCCTGGGAATGAAGCTGCTTCAGCCAGGCAGACGGTTATGTGCTCACAGCAAAAGCAGCCCTTATCTATGATGCAAATGCTTGCAGAAGGCAGCTCCAAGGCAATTATCTCTGGTGCTGTTCCCAACAAGCTGAAGGCCATAAAGCTTTTGTGTGACTTTTGGACACTGGGAAAGTTTGCTACACAACCTGCTGAACCATAATGACCTTATCACCATTCAATACACCAGATTCTTAAAGGGTTTCTGGCCCCAACAGTCCCCCATCCATGCATTCCCCTTTACCGGATGGAATAAGTAGATCATGACTTCCTTGGCTCTCTATGTTTTTGTGAACTTCTAATTAGAGTTCATTATGACAAATAGTGTCAGTGTGTGCTTTAAATAGCAAATGAAGTTCTATGGTTAACTTTTTGCTTTGGGCAAAACCCCCTTAAATAAACCCAAAACCAATGCTCAAGTCATTTATAAAAGTGCTTCCAAAAAAAAGAAAAAAAGAAAGAGAGAAAGAAAAAAAAACCAGAATAATGGTAGAGTATTAGCTTTATTACAAACAAAGGAGGAAGTGTGAATCTGCAGAATTAGTAACAATATGATGCAATGAATATCTAATAGCAAATACAAATTTCTTTTTATCAGGAGAAAGAAACTTGTTTGACAGGTGACAAGGACGGGTTATAACACCGCAGGGGATCTGCATGAACAGTGAAAGGGAGCTTATCACCATTCTACCGACAGCAAATCCAAAGCTATAATTGGGATAACTCCCATTACATCCCACTCACTGCAGCAACAAGACCTTGAGGTCCTTCTATACCTTATAGTGATAGCCGAATATATACTGCTCTGACTAGGAAACTCAGCTCCAATTCCCAGCTAATAGCTCAGCAAATGCCATTAGCGGGGCATCTTTACAATACAATACAACAGCTTCGGCCTAAATTCAGGATTCAGCTGTGGACAATAGTCTGAAGCGAGTCAGGACCCAGCTATTGAAATCAGACAGCTGGGGTGCCAGACAGTAGCTCTGTTCTAGGGAGCTCCTTCTCACTCACTGATTGTTGATCAGCTGCAACAGTGGGGATGAAGATCTGTTTCCTCCCGGTGGTGCGATCTTGGAAGGAGGGGAGGTGAATACCCCCCCCCCACAGTAATCTTGCCTGCAGGGATTCCTGCAGGAGGGGGAGAGGTTTTATCCCACCCCCAGGAATCCCTGCAAGCCATTATCTGGGGGTTGCATTGTGAAGGGGAGGGTGTTTGCATCTGGCCCGTGTTACTTCCAGAGGGCAATGTAGCCAACCATTTAGGTAGCCAGCAGTGCAGCATTCGCTTAGACAGTGTTGCAGTGCAGTCCAATTCTTGTCCACTCACAGGTAAGTCTAGTACTATTGAGTTAAACTGGACCTTCTCCAAGGAAAAGGATTTAAGTCATACAGTGCATTAGAAGCTTTTAACTCTCTCAGTTCCTAACTTCCTGTAGGAATAACCCTATGCTCATACTTAAGAGCAAAGAAAATTGGGCCTTAGTTCTCCAATGGAAGACTTAGCACTTTGTCATAGCATGAAGGAAATTCCCCAACAATTAGCGGCTTGCCTGACTTCTAAGATTCCCCAGCAAGTGGGGCTTATTTCTGCTGGAGAACAGGTAGAATGACAATGCAGTTTCGGACACTTGCAAGAACTGTGAAGGGAACTCGTTTCTAAATCAGCCACTAGCTATTTATTGACCCAGTACTTCTCTACACAAAGCATATATTTTGTACATACACTTCCTTGTTCACAGTGGTTTGTGGGTGCTTTAAACACCACTGCCTTCCTCCCATGCTTTTCACCCATTTATACAAATTCTTTTAGAGCAAAGAAAGTGAACTGTTGTCCGGCTACCATTATATCTCTGCAGTTGTGTTATGCCACAATATAGGAAGGCAGAGAGAGAAATGGGGAGAGGAAAGCATGTGTAAAGGTAAAAGGTAAAGGTTTTTCCTTGACGTTAAGCCCAGTCATGCCTGACTCTAGGGGGCGGTGCTCATCTCCGTTTCCTAGCCGAGGGAGCCAGCGTTTGACCACAGACAGTCTCCGTGGTCATGTGGCCGGCATGACTAAACACCGAAGTGCACGGAATGCTGTTACCTGCCCACCGAAGTGGTACCTTTTTATCTACTTGAATTTGCATGCTTTCGAACTGCAAGGTTGGCAGGAGAAGCATGTGTAAAGGAGGTGAACTTAATCCACAAAGAAGCCAGAAACAAGTCTTGATGGTAGGTTAGTAGTTTCTGCATGAAGAGAGACCTCCAGTTCTAGGACTTGCAGGGCCAGGTACAGCGCCGGCAGAAGAGGCACCGCGCGCACGACACCTGCGCGCACGGCAGCGGCAGAGGCAGCGAACGCCCGCGCCCCGGACTCCACCACCTGCCCTGACTGCCGCCACGCCCGGCACGTGTGAGAGGCGTGGCCGGGCGCGGCGAACGTCGGAGGGAGGAAGCCCCGCGCCCTGAAAAGCGCCGGCGGCGGCCGAAGGGCGGGGTCGCCGCCGCTTGGGTGCCGAGCGGGGGGCTGGCCTGGCCAGGGGGCTTTGTTTGGCTGCGTGATTTTTAGCCTTCCTGCTACGCTGCTTGTCCCTGTAAGTTTTTAATTGTTTTTATAATTTTAAGTTGTTTTATGGAGTCGTCCCTGGCCATGTTGCCGCTTGTGCTTCCTGGGGAGCGCACGGGCGCTGCCATTGGGGTAGTCTTGGGCAATGGACGTTATAGTGGTGGGAGCTTAACGTGTCCGCATAGAAGAAGGAGGGACAGATGGCTGACACCTGTCCCTGCTTCTGGTTTTGCTCCCAGCCAGAGGGTGCCAGGGAGTTTTGTCAGCCGCCCCTCGGGCCTGACGGTGCTGTTGCTTAACGCCAGGTCGGTCAATAACAAATCTTCCCTCATCCATGACTTGATTGTGGATGAGGGGGCCGACCTGGCTTTCATAACGGAGACCTGGGCGGGAGAGGGGGGGATGTGGCCCTCTCCCAACTATGCCCGCCCGGGTATCTGGTTCAGCACTGTTCGCGCCCAGAGGGGAGGGGAGGGGGGGGTCGCTTTGGTTTACCGAGCCTCCATCTCCCTCGCAGGACTTCCGGTCCCCTTGAGGCCGGGGCTGGAGTGCCTCTACTTGGTGTTGGGCGACCGAGACAGATTGGGGATTCTGTTGGTGTACCGTGCACCCTTCTGCCCAACAGTCTCCCTGCCTGAGCTGACGGAGATCATCTTGGACCTGGTGTTGAGGACCCCCAGGATGGTGGTCCTGGGGGACTTCAATTTCCATGCCGAGACTGATCTGACCGGGGCGGCTCAGGACTTCATGGTCTCCATGGCGGCCATGGGGCTGTCTCAACATGTCATCGGCCCGACCCATGAACATGGACACACCCTGGACCTGGTTTTCTCGACGGGACAGGAAGAGGGTGGTCTGAGGGTGAGGAATTTATGTTTGACTCCCCTGTCATGGTCAGATCACTTCCTGGTGAGGTTTGTGCTCGAGAGCGACTTCTCCCTCTGTAAGGGTGCGGACCCGATTGTGTGGGTCCACCCCCGGAGCCGGATGGATCCGGAAGGATTCCTGGGGGAGTTTCCGGCTGACAAGACGGGTGCTCCTGTCGAGGCTCTGGTCGAACTGTGGAATGGGGAGATGACCAGGGCTGTAGCCACGATCGCTCCTAAGCGCCCTCTCCCACTGGGCAGAGCCCGCTCTTCCCCTTGATATACCCCTGAATTGAGGGCGAGCTGGATTCCACTATTGATACAGAGGTTTTAAGGGAGACGCCAATGCCGCCGTCTGGTCCAGAATTATTGGATGAATTTCAGTTATTGTGGCCCGATGATGTGGACAAGGTGCTTGGACGAGTACGTCCCACCACTTGCCTATTGGACCCTTGCCCGTCTTGGTTAATAAATAATTCCAAGCACGGGATTGGGACCTGGATTTTGGAAGTGATTAACGCTTCTCTGAGGGAGGGTCGGGTGCCTGCCCCTTTAAAGGAGGCGGTAGTCTGACCGGTCCTGAAGAAGGCATCACTGGATCCAGAGATGGCCACTAACTATAGAACAGTGGCCAACATCCCGTTTCTGGGCAAGGTGTTAGAGCGAGTGGTGGTGGGACAACTCCAAGCACTCTTGGATGAAACTGATTATCTGGACCCATTTCAGTCCGGCTTCAGACCCGGGTACGGTACTGAATCTGCCTTGGTCGCCCTGTACGATGACCTGTGCAGGGAGAAAGACAGGGGGAGTGCGTCCCTGTTGGTTCTCCTGGACCTCTCAGCGGCTTTCGATACCATCGACCATGGTATCCTTCTGGACAGGCTTGCGGGATTGGGGGTCGGAGGCACTGCTTTGCAGTGGTTCCGCTCCTATCTCGATGGCCGGTTCCAAAAGGTGGTGCTGGGGGACTATGGCTCTGCGCCATGGCAGCTATGCCATGGAGTTCCACAGGGGTCCATTTTGTCCCCGTTGCTGTTCAACATTTACATGAAACCGCTGGGAGAGGTCATCAGGAGGTGTGGACTGCGGAACCATCAGTACACTGATGATACCCAGCTCTACCTCTCGTTTTCCACCAATCCAGGTGAGGCAGTGGCTGTACTGAACCGGTGCCTGGCCAAGGTAATGGGCTGGATGAGGGCCAATAAACTGAAGCTCAATCCAGACAAGACGGAGGTCCTGTTGGTGGGTGGTTCTGGCTTTGGAGAGGGTGAACTGAACCTTGTCCTGAATGGGGTTGCACTCCCTCTTAGGGACAAGGTTCGCAGCTTGGGAGTGCTCCTCGACCCGGAGCTTTCACTAGAAGCTCAGGTGACAGCAGTGGTGAGGAGTGCTTTCCTCCAGCTTCGGCTGATCCACCAGCTGCGCCCCTATCTGGAATATGACTGCCTCGCAACAGTGACACATGCATTGGTGACTTCCCGTCTCGACTTCTGTAACGTGCTCTACGTGGGGCTACCCTTGAAGACGGTCTGGATACTTCAACTGGTTCAAAACAGAGCTGCCAGGCTGCTGACGGGGACTGGGCGTTGTGTTCACATGACTCCAGTTCTCCGTCAGCTTCACTGGCTTCCCATTGAAGTCCGGGCCCAATTCAAGGTGTTGGTGATGACCTATAAAGCCCTAAACAGCTTGGGTCCTGGTTACCTGAAGGAGCGCTTGCATCCATATATGCCCAGCCGCCCCTTGAGATCGGCGGGGGAGGCCCTTCTCCGGGAACCCTCCATGAAAGAAATTAGGAGGGTGGGTACTCGGAGGAGGGCTTTCTCTGCGGTGGCGCCTAAGTTATGGAACGCGCTCCCCAGAGAGGTCCGCCTGGCGCCGTCGTTATTTGTTTTTCGGTGCCAGGCAAAGACCTTTTTATTCAAGCGGCATTTTAACTGTTAACATTATTGGTTTTATTTGGCCAGGGCGGCTTATTTTATACCGTATTGTTGTATTTTAATTTAATATTTATATTTTTAATTTATATAATAATTATTTTAACTGGATGATGTGAGCCGCCCTGAGGCTTCGGCGAATGGGGCGGCATAAAAATGTTTTAATAAATAAATAATAAAATAAATCTTAATCTAGAGATTCCCGTATCTGTGTTGAAGGGATGCTAACTCAGTGTGACCTTCTGATATAATACAGCCATTATTTAGGGATTCAGAGGTAACCATCACATTTTCTCTTTCACCCACCCTCCAATGGTATAATCTCAAGAAGCATCAGCCATGGAGGGGAGGGACCCCAAAATATAAGGAAAATATTATTTAGTTGAGATATTTGATTCATTGTCAGACTCAGACACAAACCATCTCTCTCAAGGAGCAAGAAATGGTATAATCTTCACAAGTGTAACCTACCCCTTCTGGTTCTTTGCAGAGTATCTCAGCAACCTTTTCCTGACTGATACTCCACTGAAGCCAAACCGGGCAGGTTTTGATGAGTTTCTCAAGGATGCTGATACCAGGCGGCGAAAAGCAATTCCTCACAGTGATAGGCTGGCTCACCTGGGTCTGATCTTCCTTTTCTTCTTCTGTGCCAGGCCTGCAAAAACACAGCAGCACACACATGAGACAACTGTGGCAGCCAGTACTGAGCAAAAATGTGTTGATGGAAATGCACCGAAACCAAGAGTGATGGCTGGCAATTGACATGCTATGGTGATTTGGCAGGCATTTGTTCCAGATCCACCTAGGTGGCATCCCTTAGTTACACAGAAAAATCAGTGGTACGTTTAGGGGAGGACCTGGGCGACACATCCTGGGCCCCATTCAGCAGAATGAACAGGAGGATCTCCAAATGCACCAGGCCTGGCTTGCTGCACATTGAAGTTAGCGCAATAATAACACATTTCCACCTGAAGAGGGTCATGCATAAAACCATGCAGTCTGACGCCTAAAATTACCCATGTGTAAGAAGCTTATCAGGTCACAGTTCTGTCTTGTACCTATAAGGATCCAACTCTTCTGAAGCAAGGAGTCTGCCATTCCCAGGAAAAAGAATGTGGCAGGGGCCTTGTGGGCCTCCAGATTACATTACCCTGCAACTTTGGTTCCAGCCAGCAAGGCAATGCTAAGGGATGATGGAAGTTACAGTCTGATGGTGCCTGAAGAGCCAAAAGTTGCCCGTCCTTGAAACGGAATGTGAAATATGAAAACAACCAGAACAAGAGGCCATCCACTGAAATGCTTCTTCCTCGCCCCGTGCATCAGCCAGGTACGATGGAATCAAGAAAGAGATGGTGCGTGTGTGTACACGCACACATGTGCACATGCAAACAACACACTCAACAGACCTAATTGTGTTGGCATATTGTGTATACACATGATCATTTTACAAAATGCCAGTGCTGCGACGACAGATGCATAACAATAGCTGTGGTGGAGGGGGGTGAGACAGAGCTGAGGGGAAAATACATACAACCATGCCTTTGCCTCCCCATTACAATACATTAAAGAGTGCCAGTCTTTAGAAACTGGTGGCCTGTATAGATTGGGGAAGGTGGATTTTGGGGCAGGCTTCTCAGAGAGCATGGCTTGGCTGCTGGACGGGGTCAGCCCTGCCATTAGGCAGAGTGAGAGAGTGACTGCCAGGGGGCTGAGTGGAGATGGGCGGCAGTGCTGGGAGCAGCAGCAGCAGCGACCTGGTTGTTTACTTCGACATCTCCAGGTTGCTCCCTGCTGGACAAAAGCACAGCGTGTGCTGCCTGGCCTGCCTTGCACAGCAAGTTAGCCTGCTGCCTTCATGCGTGGAGATGGAGATTGCTCTGCAGCCATGGTCAAAGAACGCTTCAGATGTCTTCTGCGGCTAGAATGGGCCTTTTGCCTCAGATAGCAAGATGGTCTGGGCATCCCTGCAGATGGAGTTCCGAAAGGAAGCAGCTCTTCTGTCACTTCAGCCTGGAGTCATGGGCAAAATTGAGGTTTTTAAGCCTTGGAAAGAGAACTCTGTAGGCCTTCCATGTGGGAGGGGTGCCAACCTCTCCCCCGACTCCCAACTACCCCAACATCAGCTTGGCAGACACTCTGTTATCACATGTCTGGAATCACATGTCCGAAATTTCTTTTGTATACATGCACAAACACACACAAATTTCAGCAATGGCTCCTAGTCAATCAAACAAAGCCTCCATTTTTGCATCTAATTGCATTTTCGGAAAACATTGCAGAGGGCAGGTTATAGCAGGCCAGAGCTTAGCTAAACAAATGTGTTAGTGAGTCCCTGCAGAGGCTCTGCAAGAAGATCATTAACACTTTAAAAATAAAGCACTCAAACTGTTTTCTGTCTAAAGTTAGATTGGCTCACAGATGCTCAGAGCAGGTGGAGCAGCATTTTGCAAAGAGAGACATTCTAAACCTAGCCCCTGCAATCTTTTGTGAGCAAGATGGCATAAGTACACCTTCCCCAATCTGGTGCCCTCTTGGTGTTTGGGATTACAACTCCCATCTTCCTGAGTCTGCATGGCCAAAGACATCTGGTGGTCATGGGGTTGGGAAAAGGCTGGCATGTACCTTGTGGCAGGGGAATTCCACTGCCTCTGTTTTTGGAGATTGGATTTTGGCCCAGGAAAGCCAGGAGGAGGAGGAGACGGCGGTGGAGGGCACCTCCAGCTTTTCTCACCCAACAATTCCCTGCTCCAAATTGCTCATGTCACAGATTCAAAATTTAGGCAGCCACACATCAGTGGCACCTGCTGGCGCTGGAGGGGAACAGACTCCCAACAGGGAAGTAGTGAACAAGGGAAAGGAGGCACCCCGCCCCATTTGTAAGTGCATCTCCATTAGAAGTTCTCCCCACCCAACGCTGCTTTTTAAAAAGCTGTCTAATGCATACGTCTGTGCTCAAGGCAGTGGTCAATGACAGGTTAGATTCAATAACATGTAATTAACTTCACAGTGATGATTAAGTTTTCCACCTTTGCTCACCTCCTTATGTTGCCAGGTAGCACTGCCTGAACCCTGGGTCCCAGAAGCAGCCTTCACCTCTCTCCCAAGGTGGTGGGGGCAGAAGAAGGACAGGCAGGGCCTGTCGTCCGGGCTGGCACGGAAGAGCATTTTGTTTCCTGAGTTAATGGGGCAGGTGCTGCCCTCCCACCCCATTCCATGTACAGGAGCCATCTCGACTGGCAGCAGGGCCCTGTGGCGTCAGCCATGGGGCAGCATCCCCGCCACACCAACAGGCAGCCGAAAGGGTGTGGGGCAGGCCACATGGCACCCTTGCCTCCATCCCAGGGAAGCAGTGGGGGCTCGGGAGTGATGGCCGGAGATTGCCATCCAGCACCTGCTACCTGAGGCAATCGCCTCCCTGTGTGTAACGGTCCCTCTGCCGGGCTTCTAGCCAGTAACCAGGTTGAGAGGACTTCCCGGAGCACACCTACAACCAGCCCGTTCACAGCAAACATTGCAGGTGCCGCACAAGGACAGAACACGAAGGCATCAGTCTTCTGGCGGGGCCAGATTTATAGCCCCCCCCCCCACACACACACACACGGCAGACAAAAATCAAGAAAACTAGTTCAAAGGTAAATCAGGTAATGGATGTGGAAACTATAAAGTTTGTTGACCACCTCCAACCTGAAAGCTGAACTCTATTTATATCCACACTTGGTTTTCAGCTGGTATTTTTTTATTTATTATATTTATGCTATGTTGTTGATGTTTCTTGTAAGCCTCCCAGAGAGCCCTTGGGCTATAAGGCGGCATACGAATGAATGAATGAATGAATGAATGAATGAATGAATGAATGAATTTTGGAGAAATCCTTTGAAGCTGCCTTCCAGGCATGGGCAGGGCTGAGGCCAAAGTGGGCAAGAGGCGAGGCCAAAGGCCAGGGCTATCCCCAGGCCAAATGCCACAGTTTTTTTTAGCTTCGTGGCCAGTAGCTAAGCCTTAGAAACGGCATTCCAACCTTTTGCAGTGGGAAACTGTGCAAAATCCCAGAAGCCGTCATGGGATCTGAAGCTGGGGAATGGGGCATGGCCACCTAGCAAACCCCAGAGAGCTGGATGAGGACCACAGGCAGCCTGGATCCAATGCACAGGCCTATGGTGCACCACTTGTGCTGTAGGGTATACAAAACTGTGTTTTTTTCTTTTTAAGAACCGGGCATTAAACAAAGGTACAAATTTAAGCTAAATGACACAAAGGAAAAACTAGGACAAAGCATTTAAGACATTTTGAATTTTATTTTTACTAATTAATTGAGATTAGCATATAATGATTGAAAACGCCTATTAGATTAATTCAAGGTAAGCCTGGAAGAATAATTTAGAAAATGATTTAGAGCCTTGGCTATTGGGTGGTATAAAATGAAATAAATAAATGAAGTCACATTTTCAAGGTAAGAGGAATAAGGATTTGATCATGTATTTAAATAGGTTCCACCCAAATATGAATATACATATAACCAACATAAATTTCTACTGAGATATTTCCCTAGTTACAGATTTTTTTTAAAAAAGGAAAGAAAATGTTTTAAAGAGAGATTTAAGAAAGAATTAGCCCCATAAAGAGCAATGACTGGGCTTTGCCTTTAGGCTGATACTAGAGCACAAACGTATCCATGTGATTTGCTTCTGTATAAATAGTCACACAGTTTAACTGGTTGACTCCAAAAGTTGTGAGGCCTGGGCTTGCAGCGTCGAGAGCCAGGGTGGGGTGGTGGCTAGAGTGCTGGACTGGGGGCCCAGGAGGTCCGCCTTCTGCTGTGAAGCCCCCCAGGCAACTTTGGTCAGGCATTCACATTCTGCCTGGCCTACCTCACAGTGCTGTTGTGAGGATAGAATGGAGCTATGTAAGCTGCCTTGGGTTCTCCACAAGAGAAAAAAGGCAAGGTAAAAATAGTGTAATAATACTTTACAACAGAAAATCAAGCAATAGTTCTCTTGTTTGGAAGAACGGGGGAAACAAACTCATAATCTGGAGTTTTTCTACTATGTTTTAAGGCTGTTCTGAAGACAGCCTACTATCGTCTAGGACTGTTGTAAAGAGATACTCTGATATTATATTAGTTTATCTTGAATATGTAAAGATACTGATATACCTTACTAATTACTGTTCCTGTATTTAGTTTATGCATGGTGGTCTCTACTCCCCACTGTATCCTTAAGTAGCATAAATAAAATCAAAATAACTAAAATAAATTGTCAAATGGAGGCCATTTGTTACTGAATTCTTTAATGTTTATGATTTTAACTGTAATTTGTGACCATTGATAATTCTTGTTATACCGACACAACTTATTATATAGCGATGACCAGTATCCATTCGGCATATGCTTGACCCCACATGTTATAAATATTGTTGTGGGCCCCACAGATATCACCCACATATGCTTGGGTGCGTATATATTTTCATGTTGTATTTATTTCTGGCTCCACTGATCTCTTGGACTGCTGTTTTCTCCTTGGTGAAGGCACTCAATTTTAGAAAGCCTTGTGACAGGTAAAACTCTTTAATACAGAGATCCACACCCAGTGACACCCCCTGCCCCTTGCTGCAGCCCTTCCAGGGAACCTGCACCTGCACCTGCTGCTGCTGAATTCC